TCAAAAAGATTAATTGCACTTTCACATGCGCATATTCCTTGAGAGGAGAAAAAAAAAGGAACTTTGGCACCTTTGTAAAATCTCAAGCCGGCGAATTTTGCAATCACATCGGAGAATATGACTAACCTCGCCGGCGATTACAACGGAGACGGCCGTTTTAACGCCTCCGTCACTCCAGCCGTTACTGAGTGTTCGCCACCGTCTGATCCCCCCGTCCGTGTCTACGCAGATGGGATCTACGATCTGTTCCATTTCGGTCACGCTCGATCTCTCGAACAGGCTAAGAAATCGTCAGTACTTGTACCTCTTAGGGATCAGATTCCCGTCATTATTCAATCTCTAATTCGATTTGTTTCCTCGTGTTCGTTCGTTTTTCGCTTGTGGTTTATGTTGGTAGTATACTCGAATTAGAATATCTTAGTGCAGATTTATAAATGTGGAGGAATTTTGCAAAAATACATCTGAAAATTCTAACTTGTAATGAGTGATTTTATGCTTCAATTTTTAAATTTTGTATTCATGAGGTTGGGTATAATAAGTTGCAGTAGGTTGTAGATTCGTTCATGTTGTTACATTTTGAACTGTGTTTTTTTGGCTAAGCAGGTTTGCAAATACTTACCTTCTTGTTGGATGTTGCAATGATGATACAACTCAAAATACAAAGGAAAGACTGTAATGAATGAACAAGAACGATATGAATCTCTTCGACATTGCAAGTAATTTCTTCTTCTTCTCCCTATTGCAATGTTTGCTTTGTGTTAGAAAGAAACTAATGATGATTTACACTAATGTTGCATCTGTTTTATCGTACAGATGGGTGGATGAAGTTATCCCTGATGCACCATGGGTGATCAACCAAGAGTTTCTTGACAAGCACCGGATTGCTTATGTGGCTCATGATGCTCTTCCGTAAGAACTTGTGTTATTTTGTCTTGTACAAACATTGATTTAGTTTTTGAAAATGGTGGAAATTTATTGTTGTAAGTCGAGAAGCAGGATAATTTTTTTCCTGAGAGATCAGCGTTATCACTCATAAGTATTTTTCTACAGGTATGCTGATACCAGTGGAGCTGGAAAGGATGTCTATGAATTCGTGAGTCTCGATACTCATTTTTCTGTTGCCTTTATGTGTGATATTCGAGCTCTGTTTTAACTGAGTATCCATTGCAGGTCAAAAAAGTTGGGAGGTTTAAAGAGACTAAGCGAACTGAAGGGATATCTACTTCGGATATAATAATGAGAATCGTGAAAGATTATAACCAGTATGTTATGCGGAACCTTGGTAGGGGATATTCGAGGGAAGATCTTGGAGTTAGCTTTGTGAAGGCATGTTGATATTTTCTTTACTTATTCATCTTGTTGTATTGAGAATTTTTTCTTCGGAGGAGTGAACTTTGGATATCGATTTGTAACAGGAAAAGAGAATATGAGGTTGAAGAAACTTCAGGAGAAGGTAAAAGAACATCAAGAAAAAGTTGGGGAAAAGGTATGTATTTCTCACCTTTCCTTTGTTGTTCTTGATCCTCTTATCGTTTTTTCTTAGTGATATTCTAAGTGCTGATGTGGTTTACGAAACCCGCTTTAATTCTTTCAGATCCAGACTGTGAAAATGCTGCGTAATGAGTGGGTTGAGAATGCAGATCGTTGGGTAGCTGGATTCCTTGAAATGTTTGAAGAAGGTTGCCATAAAATGGTAAGTTTCAACTCTTAAGAAACTAACAATGCGGATCCATATGAACCATCCAAGCCTATTCGAATCCACTTTTCGATCTATAGTTTTTGCTGTTGTTCTCGGGTTTTTTTACTGATCTGCCATAAAACAACTGTGTACATATTAGGGTACTGCCATCAGAGACCGAATGCAAGTGAAGCTAATGCGACAAGGGTCCAAAGACTTGCTCGATAATGGTCAAAACGGCCAACATGAAGACACGGACGAACAGTTCTATGAAGAGTATTTCGAACATGACATTGTTGACAGCTAC